GTTTTTGAAGGGAGCTGCTTTAGGTAGATATTTGTATCAGTCTCGTAGGATGAAGCTTGGATGAAATGAACCCAGATCCCTTGCCGCCTCATGTCACAGCCCCCCCACAAAGGCAGAAGCTATGCCAATGCCGTTTGCCTGCCGCCCCACACAAAAGCCCCCCTGCAAAGGCAAAAGCCGCACCAGTGCTGTTCATCTGCTGCCATACCACAGGGCCCCCTGCAAAGGCAGAAGCTGTGCCTGCACCTTTTGCCTGCCACCCCCATGTCACAGGCCCCCCACAAAGGCAGAATCCGCACCATTGTTGTTCACCTGCCACCCCACACCAAAGCCTGTATCGCCCATTGCACGCTGTCCCCGCAGTACCATTATTCTGCCTGTCACCCAATTGGCTGGCGGCTATTTATCCCGTGTAGCCAAAGGCCCAGGACAATGGGTGCCTGGGCAAATGGGCTGGGCTGAAAGGTGCGGGGGTGGAGGGCCAGGGGCCCATTGGTCAGGGAGAATGGTCAGAGAAAAGCTAGCTGCAAATGGGCTGAGGCAGGAGGCTTGAGGCGAAGGAGACATGGCCAACAGTCTGTGCCTAAATGTCCCATTCTGGCCATCAGAGCTTTTCTTTTACAAGAGAGAGGGAGAGACAATAGCCTTCTTCCATGCACCTTCTTTTCCAGAGTCCTGATGGCTCTAGAATGCAATTATGACATCTATAAGGAACTCCTTGCCATTAAATCAGCATTCCAGCACTGGAGAGATACTTCCTAGAAGGTGCACTTTCATAAAGCAGTCAACACTAACCACAAAAATCTACATACCCTGCAACAAACCAAGCTGCTTTCCTCCTCCTCCAAACATGGCGAATTGAGATGATGCCAAAGAGCTCAATTTTGGTCTCATCTGACCATAACGCTTTCACCCAGTTCTCCTCTGAATCATTCAGATGTTCATTGGCAAACTTCAGATGGGCCTGTACATGTGCTTTCTAGAGCAGAGGGACCTGCACGATTTCAGTCCTTCACGGCGTAGTGTGTTACCTATTTTTTCTTGGTGACTATGGTCCCAGCTACCTTGAGATCGTTGACAAGATCCTCCCGTGTAGTTCTGAGCTGATTCCTTACCGTTCTCATGATCATTGAAACTCCATGAGATGAGATCTTGCATGGAGCCCCAGACTGAGGGAGATTGAGAATTATTTTGTGTTTCTTCCATTTGTAAATAATTGCACCAACTGTTGTCACCGTCTAACCAAGCTGATTGACGATAGTCTTGTAGCCCATTCCTTTTGTAGGTCTAAAATCTTGTCCCTGACATCCTTGAACAGCTCTTTGGTCTTGGCCACAGTGGAGAGTTTGGAATCTGATTGATTGATTGCGTCTGTGGACAGGTGTCTTTTATACAGGTAACAAACTGAGATTAGGAGCACTCCCTTTAAGTGAGTGCTCCTAATCTCAGCTTGTTTCCTGTATAAAAGACACATGGAAGCCAGAAATCTTGCTGATTGATAGAGGATCAAATACTTATTTCACTCATTAAAATGCAAATCAATTCATAACTTTTTTGAAATGCATTTTTCTGGATTTTTTTGATGTTATTCTATCTCTCACTATTACAATAAACCTACCATTAAAATTACAGACTGATCATTTCTTTGTCAGTGGGAAAACGTATAAAATCAGCAGGGGATCCCTCACTATAGTTTCTATTACTGAACTTTGGTGGGATGAAACTCACAAATGGAATGTATTGCTGGAAGGATATAAACTGTTCAAATGAAACAAACCCAACAAAAGAGTACGTAGGGTTGCATTATATGTAAAAAAATCACTACATCTCCACAGAAATGCATAAAACCAAGGATGAAAATCTCCTTAATATAAATATAATATTATATTATTATATTTATATAATATAATATTAATATAAAGGGAAAAATATAATGACATTTCCGTAGGTGTATACCAAGGAGAAGAAAGAATGACACTGCCACCCAACCAAGGAGAAGAACTCAGTTGAATAATGCATAATGCATAATTCAGTTAAATAATGCCTATAGGAAACACAGCACAATAATAATGGGGATTTTAACTACCCTGATATCAACTTGGAAACAGACTCTGCAAAAGTGGGAGATCAAATAGGATCCTTACAAGCTAGCTGACAACTGTTGTCTAAAAAGTAGAGGAGGGAACTAGAGAGTCAGCTGTATTGAACTTAACTCTTACTATCAGAGATTAAATGATAGAGGAGTGGAAGTTGTTGAAACTTTGGGGGAGAGTGATATGTCTTATTGGAATTCAATATAATGCAAACACAAGAAATTAAAAATCAAGCTAGTGTCTTAGACTTTAAAAGAGCTGATTTCAACAAACTGAGAGAGAGAGACTGGGAAGGATTCCATAGATGAAAATCTTAAAGGAGAAAACAACTCAAGAAGCTTGGGAAACTCTGAAAAATGTGATCATAAAAGTCCAGTTCAATGCAATACTGCTGAAAGAAAAAAATAAATCCAAGAAGAAACCAGCTTGATTGCATAAAGAACTCTGATAAATTGAAAGGCAAAAAGAATAGCTATAAAAAATGGAAAGAGGAACACAAAACTAAGGCAGAATACCAGCACATAGGCCAAATCTGCAAAGATGAAGTCTGAAAAGTTAAGGCTCAGAATGAATTAAGACTTGCAACTAATGTCAAAAATAATTAAAAGTTTCTTTCAACATGTAGAAAACAAGAAAAAAAATCAAGGAAACAATCAGTCCACATATGGGAGAAGATGGCAAGGAAGTGATAGGAAGCAGGGAGAAAGCAGACTCAATTCATCCATTGCATTTATGTTCACTCAAAAGGAAAAAGTAACCCAACCTACCAAAAACAGAACCCTAAAAGAGAAACTATAAATACAAATTAAAATAGACAAAAAATGGTTAGGGAACACCTGTTTACCCTAAATGAGTACAAATCACCAGGACCAAATGGATTACATCCCAGAGTTCTGAAGGAGTTGGCAGATGTGATTGTGGAAACATTGAATCATAACTTCCAAAGATCTTGGAGCACCAGGGCGCTACCAGGTAAGTGGAAAGAGCTGATGTGGTTCCAATCTTCAAAAAAAGGGGAAAACTCTGTAAAATATGATTATAAAAGCCCAGTCTACGATAATACCACTGAAAAAGAAAAATAAGAAATCCAAGAAGAAAGCAGCAACTTCCAAAATAAAGGAAGAAATGGATCCAGGATACTACAGACCAATCAGTCTGACATCAATACCTGAGAAGATCCTGGAAAAGATAATCAAGCAAAAGATCTAAAAATACCTAGATGCAAGCAAGGTTATAACATGGATTTCTCAAAAACAGATCATGCCAAACAAATCTTATTTCATTCTTTGACAAAGTGACTAAATTAATGGACTAGCGAAATGCTGTGGACTTAATATACTTGGATTTCAATAAAGTATCTGACAAAGTAGATCACAAACTACTTCTTAATGAGGGAGAAAAATGTGGGATAAATAGCACCACCATCAGATGGATTCGTAATTGGCTGACAAATCACACTCAACATGTAGTCTTTAATAGAATTATATCCACATGGGAGGAAGTAAGCAGTGGGATACCCCAAGGTTCTGTTTTAGACCCAGTACTCTTCAATATTTTCATAATGATTTAGATGAGGAAATTGAAGGGGAACTCCTCAAATCTGTAGATAACACAAAGCGGGCTGGGAATAGGCAACACCCAAGAACTTAGGCTCAAGATGCAGAAGGATTTCGACAGACTTGAACTCTGGGACTTATCTAACAAAATGAAAATTCAATGGTGAGAAAAGGAAGATTTGATATTTAGGCAAGAAAAACCAAATGTATAGGTATAGAATAGATGGAGCAACATTTAAATAAGAATCAGCAATATGCTGCAGCCCCCCAAAAGCCAATACAATCATAGCTGCATTAACAAAGGGACAGAATCAAGATCATGTGAAATGCTAGTACCACTTTATAATGCCTTCGTAAGATCACACTTGGAATATTGCATCCAATTTTGGTTGCCACAATATAAAAAAAGATGTTGAGACTCTGGAGAAGAGCAACAAAATGATTAGGGGGCTGGGGGCTAAAACATATGAAGAACGGTTGCAGGAACTGGGTACGTCTAGTCTAGTGAAAAGAAGGACCAGGGTGACATGATAGCAGTGGTCCAATATTTGCCACAAAGGAGGGGGTCACCCTATTTTCCAAAGTACCATAAGGCAGGACAGGAAGCAATGGATAGAAACTAATCAAGGAAGAAGCAACCTAGAATTAAGGAGAAATTTCCTGACAGTGAGAATTAACCAGTGCAACAGCTTGCCTTCAGAAGTTGTGGCTGCTCCATTACTGGAGATTTTTAAGAAGAGATCAGACAACTAATCCAGAATGGTAAAGTATCTCCTGCTTGTGCAGGTGGTTGGACTAGAAGACCTCCAAAGTCCCTTCCAACTCAGTTATTCTGTTCTTTTAAGCATTATTGGTCCATCTTATTTACAGGGATGTTACAACCGATGATAAATTATTATTTGTCCCTTCAAGTCAGTCTTGTTTCCTACCAGTGTTCACAGTGTGTTCTTGACAATATTTTTTTCCAAAATGAGTAGCCCTTGCCTTCTTACTAGAACTGAAAGAGTGATTGGCCCAATCTCATCCACCTGGTTCTGTGCCTAAGATGGGACCAAACTCATCAATTCTCAGTTTGTAAGCCAGTGTCTTTAACCATGGCACCAAATTGTCTCTAAATGGATTCTCATACATTCTGAATTTGTAAGTAACTTAATAAAACACACAGAGATTTGAGCCAATTGCTGTGTCTCAGCCCAAGCTACTTCATAGGTGGTTGTTGTGATACAGGGGGAGATTTCAAAAGGCATCACTTTTTCCTAGGGGAGTTCCTAGGAAAAGTTTCTAGGGGAAAAGTGAGATAATGTATAGTTTATGATAATGATAGTGATAATAACAACAGAAAAAGAGGAACCTGATATCGATCCAAGATTCGGAAAGCCTGGCAAGAAGTTTTGTATACTGCATAATCTGCTGGGACATAGGAAGCATTTCTTTCCTTAGTTCCATAAAACTGATCGACCAAGATAAGAGCAGAATTCACAATATCATCCAAGTTAAAAAGGGGAAGACCATTCTCTCGTTTTGTCTTTCGGACTATCAGCTTGCGCCTCAGCCTCCGAGCCTCAGGAGTCATGTCTGTTGCATTTGGATAGGCCTCCAAGTTCCTCAAAAGAAGTTTTTCTTCATAGATACCAATAGAAGTGTATTTAGACTGAGAATCCTTATGAGCCAGTTGGGTCTTCTGCTTCTCTGAACCTTGGTCTTGAAGGAAGCCATGTGTACTACTATGATTTTCCACATCATTGACTAGCCTGTCTGCTCTTCCTTCTTCACACATCAGCTCTTGTTTAATCTGATCAGACAGCTTCATTTTCTTTTGGATCATTCCCCCTGATGCATCAGATGGAGGAATATATTCTATTCCTGGGTCTATCATACCTTCCAACTCTTCATCATCTATAAACAAAACAAAATGCCTCAGAAACACTAATATTGTAACCAAATACTTTTTCCTGCAAATAATAAAATTCTAGGAAATTCTGAAAGTATGTTAAGTTTGAATTTTTTTCCTTACAAAGTGCTATAGATAAAATCTATATCCCAACTTTTACAAAACAATAGAAAACTAAAATACAGGTAGTCCTCGACTTACTACAGTTTGTTTAGTGACCATTTGAAGTTACAACAGCATTGAAAAAGTAACATGAACATTTTTCAGTTACAACCATTGCGGCATGTCCATGGTCACGTGATCAAAATTCAGACAGTTGGCAACTGACTCCCTTTTATGATGGTTGCAGTGTCCTAGGATCATGTGATTACCTTTTATGACCTTCTGACAAGCAAACACAATGGGGAAGCCATATTCACTTAACAATCTTTTGACTAACTTAACAACTGCAGTGATTCACTTAACAACAGTGGCAAGAAAGATCACAAAATCCGGCAAAACTCACTTAACAACTGTCTCATTTAGCAACAGGAATTTGGGACTCAGTTGTGTCATACGTCAATGACTACTTGTGCATCTTTCTGTAAATCAGTGGCATTTATATTGGTTGAAAAATTAAACAACCCTACAACTAAGGATAGTTTCATTTAAGTCTACTACTTTATAGCTATAATAAAATTTCTTCTATATTATCCTTGCTTATATAAATGTCATTCTGAATAAAAATGTGGAATACACACAGATACACACAGAGAGACACACATCTGTATATATGCATGACAGAAAGTAAGTGAGAGACTGAGGTTTGCCACTTCAACCTAATCTTGATGATAATCTGTAGCTTTTCCATGACCACTCCAACGTACATCTATCTACAGTGAGGGGAAAAATTATTTGATCCCCTGATTTTGTACGTTTCCCACTGACAAAAGAAATGATCAGTCTATAATTTTAATGGTAGATTTAATTTAACAGTGAGAGACAGAATAACAAAAAAATCCAGAAAATGCATTTCAAAAAAGTTATAAATTGATTTGCATTTTAATGAGTGAAATAAATATTTGATCCCCTATTAATCAGCAAGATTTCTGGCTCCCATGTGTCTTTTATACAAGTAACGAGCTGAGATTAGGAGCACTCTTTTAAAGAGTGCTTCAGTTTGTTACCTGTATAAAAGACACCTGTCCACAGAAGCAATTAATCAATCAGATTCCAAACTCTGCACCATGGCCAAGACCAAAGAGCTGTTTCAAGGATGTCAGGGACAAGATTGTAGACCTAAACAAGGCTGGAATGGGCTACAAGACTATCACCATGCAGCTTGGTGAGAAGATGACAACAATTGGTGTGATTATTCGCAAATGGAAGAAACACAAAATAACTGTCAATCTCCCTTGGTCTGGGGCTCCATGCAAGATCTCACCTCATATACATTAAATCTCTCAATGATCATGAGAACTGAAATCCTGCAGCGCCTGCAAGGTGCTCCTGGTCAAGAAAGCACGTGTACAGGCCCGTCTGAAGTTTGCCAATGAACATCTGAATGATTCAGAGGAGAACTGGGTGAAAGTGTTGTGGTCAGATGAGACCAAAATTGAGCTGTTTGGCATCATCTCAATTCGCCATGTTTGGAGGAGGAGGAATGCTGCCTGTGACCCCAAGAACACTATCCCCATTGTCAAACATGGAGGTGGAAACATTATGCTTTGGGGATGTTTTTCTGCTAAGGGGACAGGACAATTTCACCACCTCAAAGGAATGATGGGCAGGGCCATGTACCGTCAAATCTTGGGTGAGAACCTCCTTCCCTCAGCCAGGGCATTGAAAATGGGTTGTGGATGGGTATTCCAGCATGGCAATGACTCAAAACACATGGCCAAGGCAACAAAGAAGTGGCTCAAGAAGAAGCACATTAAGGTAGCCAGTCTCCAGACCTTAATCCCATAAAAAATCTGTGCAGGGAGCTGAAGGTTTGAGCTGCCAAACGTCAGCCTCGAAACCTTAATGATTTGGAGAGGATATGCAAAGAGGAGTGGGACAAAATCCTCCTGAGATGTGTGCAAACCTGGTGGCCAACTACAAGAAACGTCTGACCTCTGTGACTGCCAACAAGAGTTTTACTACCAAGTGCTAAGTCATGTTTTGTGAATGGGTCAAATACTTATTTCGCTCATTAAAATGCAAATCAATTTATACTTTGAAATGCGTTTTTCTGGATTTTTTTTCTTATTCTGTCTCTTACTGTTAAAATAAACCTACTATTAAAATTATAGACTGATCATTTCTTTGTCAGTGGGCAAGCATACAAAATCAGCAGGGGATCAAATAATTTTTCCCTCACTGTGTCTTAACTGCTACCCATTCTACTTTCCTCCCATCTTTCAAGTATAATAGTTTACTTCGAAGTATCATCCTATATCATATTAAATGCTTCAAAAATGTGAGTTGCTGTTTTTTATCTCAAGGAAGCAGTCAGTTTACTGTACTTGGTCCAGGACGGATAAGCATCTTCTTGCCATCCTTGATACTGTTAGTAATTATCTATAATGCCATAATACAGAGGCATATATCTTTTTTCTTTTACTCATTCCCGGTGTTCAGCTTTCAATAGCTGAACATTTTTTTTCCATATTAATACAGTAAAACAAAATACTATTATGATCTATGAGTCACAAAGACATTCTTCTCCTTCATGACCCTTTCTCAGTTTATTATTTTCCTATCTAAAGTTACTGCTCTCTTTACATCCTGAACACATGATTCAGCTTTATCTATTTTTGAAACCAAGAAAGCAAAGTTATCCAGGCCCTTCATTATTTGCTATCAAGGACACTAGCTAACATTTGTCTCTGCTGTCTAAATATTAAATGTTATTATATTTAATTATGCTCTGTCCCCTTGGATGGATGAGATGATAGTGTCTAAATCTCATTTCAGTTCAGATAGTTTAATACCAGAGATGATTCAACAAACATTATTAATATTAGTAACCTTGGTGTATGCTATTCCAGTACGGTGCATGGGGCAAGTCACTCCAATGATAATGCACACGACTGGCAAAATACTTGGTCAGTCAAGAAATTCTCCATACAGCTTAAGAATCATTCTGTGGTGTTGCAGATTGAAGAATTACACAGAGTCACAAGTGTCTTCATATAATGTATACCACTCAGGCAATATGAACAAGTACGTAAATGAAATGGTACCAGCTTCACCTCAAGCTTAATCCAGACATTGATTTGGAGACTGAAAATATTTAGGATTGTAAAGTAAAGGGCTTATCAGAGGAAGGACAGAAAAGTCCATTGAGAAATGTCTTGTTTTAAGATTTACTCCATCAAGTAACAGCCCAGATATGAGCTATTAAGTGTTACCACATCACTTGCCCATAAAATTCTTGCTTGGTAGGCAAGAAACCACCAGGCGGCCATTGCCAGGTTCATTGCCAGATTTTACCACTGGTTGCTCAGAAAGGTGAATTCTTCCTTCATGCCCTTCTCCTAGTACGCACTACATGTTTTAAAATTAAGTAGAACATAGAGCAATTTTTTTAAAGCTCTATCAAAATTAAGACAGCCAGGCAGATATACTCAGCAGTAAAATTCCACCAACACTGAAGATAGTCCTCCAGTAGCAACATCTAGATTCAGAATGGCTCTTTATTGAGTCTTGTGACACTTTAATGCCTACTGTTTTGCCCAACACTTCACTCCTAAATTCACTCTATCCAGATAATAGCAGAAATGTCATCTCTAATCCTTGCTGCTGTACAGGCAAATTCAGTTCCAAGCCTCAAAAGAAAAGTCCAAATATAGTGTCCAGAACAATTAGAACACTTCTATGTATTATTCTGAGTTCAGAACATTCAAAACAGCCATTTAAAAATGGGTCCATTTTCCATATCTCAACACAGAGAAAGTGTGCATAGTGCACACCCAATCAAAATTATTATCACATATCATTTTTCTTTTATTTTATGATAGAATGTTTGAAAAATACTAATCAAATATATATACTGAACTTTGAAGCTCTGTCAAACCACTTATTGTTAATATTATTACTGCCCAGATTTCCTTCAAAATGAGATCAGCGGCAAATAAATTTAATAATTATAATAATAATAAATTACACTTCTGTCTATATGAATGTATTTCTGGGCAAAGTATAATTATCATATGTTTAACATCTTTAAATTTTTCTTAAGATTATCAACCTATTTAGATAATAGCCCAAATTGTGGGCTTTTTAAAAATTTTCAATGTTTTCTTTTGTATATTAACCGTTTTATTTTTGTGTCTTAATAAAAAAGGAAAAAAATGAATTAATATTTGTTATGCTACATATTAAGTGCTTATTTTTTTTTTTTTTTTTTATTGAAAATTTTTACATTTTACAAAAACAAATCCCCTTCCCATACCCCCCCCTACCTCACCCCCCCCCCTTCCCAACCTCCCAAACCCTCCCCTGGACTTCCCAGAGCTGAGTACAGGCTTAATTAAAAAAAAAAAAAAACTTAAAACACTTTTAAAACCTAAACAAATTTAAATACAATCATCATTCTATATAAGCTCCCTCCAAAAACACAAATTTAAACATTACTTTCTTTGAATATCTATATCTATAATATAAAATCTAATTTCTCCCTCTTTCTTTATCCTAAAACGAAAAAATAAACATACAAATCTTTGTTATACCATTAAAGCTAAATACTCTTAAAGAACTTAAAGTAAGTACATATTTCCTTCAATCTTCATAATCTTCTCTCCTATCCAAAAAGAAAAAAAAAAAAAACAAAAACTTAAAAAACCTATAAGTCCTAAACAAATCTAAGCACATTTAATTAAACAAATTATTTTGTCTTAAAAATATTAATAATAATATTTAAAAACTAAAAACACTTTTAAATCCTAAACAAATCTAAATACAATCATCACTCTATATAAACTCCCTCCAAAACCACAAATTTTTAAAATTTAAAACATTAGAATCCACTCACTAAAATAAGCAAATTATAATCCCTTCAAAACACAAATTTAAACAATATTATCATTAAAGGTTCAAAACTTAAAACAACAAAGTTAATAAACACATTAAACATTTCAATCTTCACCAATAACTAATTCCATCCATAAAAAACTACATCCTTATCAATCTCAATTATATTAGTATTATTAATTATTCACATTCCAGTTTTTTCCATTCTCCATTCTTCCATTCTTCCATTTCCCTTCTCCATTCTTGTATCAAACTCGTAAGAAATGCTGCAAGTTCTGCCTTAGGAGACTGCTCCAAAATTCCTGAATCTCCCATCGACTCCGAAGCCAATAAGGGTTCCTTAAATTCCTCCTTGTATTGATCTTTACAATTGTAAGTTGTACAAGTTATCCTCTGCCCATTCCTCTCTTGTTGATGCCCCTCAGACTGAGATTTCCCAGTTTCCATTTCAGGCAACAATTCCACCCTTAAAGATTGCTCCAAAGACTTTGTAGGTCTAACATCTCCCAGAGATTCAGAAACCACTAAATATGAAACTTCCTTAACCTTCTTCTGTTGCTGCTTTTCTTTGGGATTATATACTGCACAAGTTGTCTTCTGCTCCTCAACCTGGACTTGTTGAGGCCTCTCACACAAAGATTCTCCAGTTTTCATAAATATAGGCTCTTCAAACTGTGATTCTACATTCTTTTCTTCCAAAGCTTTAAACTTAATTGATGGCGATGCACATACCCCCAGGACCGAAGTATAAAAATCTTTTGCTTGAAAAACAGTATTAAGTCTATAACATGTCCCCAGGTAATTCACCACCATTCCAATCGGAACATCCCATCTGAATGAAATTTTTCTCTTTTTAAGTTCATTTGCTAAAAAAGCAAACTCCTTTCTTCTTCTTAAAATTTTAGATGGGATCTCTTTAAAAATTATAACATCTTGTGAAGCAATTTGAAATCTCTTCTTATAATAGGCTTGCACAATTTCATTGCGTAAAGATCTTTTACCAAAGTAAATTACCACATCTCTTGGCAGATTCTTCTGTGCTGCCACCACAGAGTTAACCCTAAATAATTTTTCAATTTCATTAAGTATTCCCTCTTTTTCTTTATTCAAAATCAATGCAAAGTCCTTTGCAACCATCTCCTTCAGATCTCCTTGCAAAGACTCTCCCAGGCCTCTAATTCTTAAGGCATATTCCATTTGTCCATATTGAAGCATAAGAATCTCATTTTCCATTTCTTTTTCCATACTTTCAATTTTCCCCTCCATTATGTCCACTTTTTCAGCTACCTCTTCCACATGGGAGTTCACCTTTTCAAGAACAGAAGCAACACCTTCTAAAGCCAAAACAAAATCTTGTCTCAAGATCTTATTGTTTTCCTCTAAAATCTTTTTCATTTCTGCCCTAATTTGAATTATAACATCTCCCATCATGTCTTGCAAGTCCTTCATAGTTATTAGCTGACCCCCAGAAGAGGGTGAAACTGTTGATTTAGAAGCTGTAGAAATCCCTGGACGCTTTGGAGCCATCTTAAAGAAAAACCTTTAGTCCTTCTTAAGAAATTATAAAAATTCCTTCAAAAATCATAACTCCCTCCAAAGAAGGTCATTATAATAAAAAGAAAAAAGGGAAAAAAAGGAAGAGAAAAAGAATTAAAAAAAAGTTTTACTCCTTCTTAAAAATTACAAAAAATTAAACAAAAAAAAAGTCCTTCAAAAAAGGGTCATTACAATAAAAAAAAAGGGAGTTCAAAGGAAAAAAAAAGGGAGAAGAAAAAAAAAAATAATAATTAAATAAAAAAAGTCCGTTCCAAAAAAAATACTTAGAGATACCAAAAACAACCATTCCAATCATAAGGAAATAAAAAGAGAAAGGGAAAGGAAAGAAAGAAAAACACCAAAAAGCCTGCCGGTCAGCATTCTAACTTCCAGAAAAAAAAACACCGAGGAGTTTGCCGATCGCCATTTTACTTTCCCTTTCAACAAAGAAAAAAAATAAAAAGAGAGAATAAAAATAGAAACAAATCTTAAAACTTAAAATCCAAATAAGTCAAAGAAAGCAAAAACTAAATCCTCTACTCAGCTCTGTCCATTTAAAAAAAAAAACTCACCAGTTCTCTTTAAGCACGGAGGTGTTTGCAGCGGCTCGTTTTGTCCCTAAGGACAAAAACAGCTGGGAAGCGGAGACAAGTCTGAACTCCGTGGGAGCACTCCTTTCACCCCCCCAAAAAAAAAAACTTGGGGGGTGCGAAAGAGGCTCTACCACTATTCAGACACTCTCTACCCCCCCCCTTTGCCCGGGAGGGGGATTTTGAACCGCTGAACAGCTGGTGTCTGCTGTTCATAGCGGTTCTTACACTTACCCAGGAGGACGGCTACAAAGTAGCCGCCATCACGCACGCAAAATCCACCGGAAGTCTCCATATTAAGTGCTTATTTAGATATACTGTTTTATTTTCTCAAGTGCTGCAATCATGAAAATTATATATTCTTTGTCCTACACATTCTTAACAAACGTTACACATCTGAGTAGTACAACTACAGCCAAAATATGTTTGCGCAAATGAATCTAGCAAGAATGAACAGATAAGGAAACTTAAAAATTGCTTTTACCATGAAAAAGAGCCTGGGGTGGCATTATATCTGGAATAAGATCAGCTTCTGAAAGCAGGCTAGGTGTAGCTGAATGTGACGCTGGAGTTCCAGGAGCAGAAAAATCCAGAGAGGGAGAAGGAGATGGGCTGGTCAAAGGTGTTTGATCGGAAGAACTGAGGGAGGAAAAGTCAATCACCTCCCCCTTTTCAAGCATAATGTCTGAATGCCTGTTTCGACTGGTGAATTTGATCGGTGTAGAGGATGTACTCCTGTCCAAGAAGCCAGCTGCTTCTTTTTGGGCTCTCCTGATTTCTTTGGCTTCTTGAGTGCGAGACCGTTTCTCCTTCAGCTCCATAGCAGATTCTACTGGATTGCGGCTCACTCGCTTTCTAAGCCCCTCTACTGTAATGATTGGATCTACAGACAGTTTTGAACCTGTTGGAAAACAAGTAGTGAGTTTCTATAACCATAATAACAGTATTACAATGCTGATTACATTACAAGCATTAAAAAAATCAGAGCACGCTTACATGTGTACATGCTTGCGTACTTTAAATCAAAGTGAGCAATATTCTGTTGATTGAGAGGCTGATATTTAATAATGTGTGGAAGAGAACCAAAAAAATGGCAGGGCACCTGAAAAAGGGGACCTGACATGCTGCCCCCCGCAAAAGAGAGGAATTAAACCTGCTGAAAAAGGGGAGAAAAGACAAAATTAAAACAATCACTTAGGTTTATCAGGATATTGATAATGAAAATGTTTCACTAATCTAGAGACTCTAACTGTCTAGAATCCACCCACTCATTTTGCCCAGAAGGAAAATCCCTCCTAGCTACTAAATACTGAAGATTGCCCCTCTGCTGTTGAGAATCCAAAATTTCCTTCACTTCAAAATGGTGTTCCCCTCTATCATTACAGGCTGGGGAATAGGAGGAGGAACTGGTCTAAAGGGTGAAGAAACCTCAGGTTTCAAAAAACTACAATGAAAAACGGCATGAACACGTCATAGGGACTTTGGCAATTCTAATTCCACCATTATGGGATTAATAAGGCGTTTTATGGGAAAAGACCCCACAAATTTAGGTCCCAATTTTTTGCAGTCACTTTACTTAAAAGTGACTGCAAGTAACAGGTGGATAGGTAAACACGGTCTCCCAGTTTAAAAGGTTTTAGCTCAGCTCTTTTTTTATCGGCTTGTGCTTTATATGAATTACAAGCCTCTATTAATACTTTTCGCACAATGGGCCAGGTGTTTTGCAGTTGAGAGACCCATTCCTTCAAGGATGGCACTCCCAGGTCATCAGTAGGAAGCTCAGGAATAGGCTTAAAGTCTTGACCAGTAGCCACTCGGGATGGACTGAAACTGGTGCTCCTGTGTACAGAGTTATTGTACACCACATTTGCAAATGGTAAAACATCAGTCCAATTGTCCTGTTGATAATTTATAAAACATCTAAGGTACTGTTCCAATATCCAAGATAATCTGTTGAGGTGCTCCATGTAATTGATAAATGTGATGCAAGAATAATTTTGCAAGGCAGAAGGGATTTTTTGGCAAGGGATAAAATGTACTTGCTTGGAGAATAAATCAGTCACCACCCAAATTACAGTATTTCCCACACTTTCAGGAAGTTCAACAATAAAGTCCATCAAGATCTCTCTCCAAGGTGCTGATGGCTCAACGACAGTTTGAAGGAATCCTGGCATTTTCCCTTGCCTTCATTTTGCCAATACATACACTGGACAGCTGGCAACATAGCTTTCAATGTCTTTTTTAAGGTATGGCCACCAAAATTGCCTCTTGACTAGATGCAGCGTTTTGATGAACCCAAAATGACCTGCTGTCTTTGAGTCATGGTAGGTTCTTAACACTATGAGTTTCTGGCTCTCTAGAGCATAAAGTGTCACCACCACCCAGGCTAGTCCATCTCAAATCAAACAACACTGCTGTGGGTTTGGAACCACTTATCATCTTTCAGGGCTGCTTTTAAGGCAGACCTCCCATCTTTCAGTATTTTTCACTTTCTTGAGCCCTGGTAGTCACTTGAGAAGCCAATTGATGGAACAGAAGCACTGGCTGAATTAGTTTGAGTTTGGAACAATTATATTGCGGCATCCATGACAGGGCGTCTGCCAGGAAATACTTTCCCCCAGGGAAATAGCACAGGGTGAAGTTAAAGCGGTTAAAATATTTTGCCGACCGTGCTTGCTTAGGAGAGAGCTTGCAAGCCATGTTTAGTGCCTCTAAATTCTTGTGATCAATCTGCATTTCGAAAGATATTTTACTCCCCTATAAGAAATACCTCCATGCAAGTAGCGCCCATCTCACAACTTAACCTCTTTCTCCTACACCTCCCATCATTGTTCCATTTCCAAAAGTTTTTGGGAGGTGTAGGCACAGGGCTGTAGCTGTCAGCTTTCATTTTCCTGCAGTAAAACAGCTGCTACAGCCACGTCACTAGCGTCAGCTTGTATAACAAATGGTTTCACTGGGTCAGGGTGTTTTAACACCAGTTTGGCAGCAAACAAGTGCTTAAGTTTCTCAAAAGCGGCTTGGCATTCCATGGACCAATTAAGTTTATAATGGGGAGGGCTATTTGAGCAAACGAGGGGATGAATTGCCGATAAAAGTTAGCAAATCCTAGGTAACTTTGCTTCCTAGTGCCAGTCGAACACTTTTCTTTCTCCAGATTCATTTTGATCCCCACATGCGAAATACGGTCAGGGTTTTTCAAACTTTTCACAGATTATACAAGTGATGGCGAACCTTTTAGAGACCGAGTGCCCAAACTGCAACCCAAAACACACTTATTTATCGCCGGATGCCAGGTGCCCAAACTGCAACCCAAAACCCACTTATTTATCGCCAGATACTAGGTGGGCATGGCTGTGATGGTCATGGCAGACTGGGTGGGTGTGGCCAAGGTGGGCGTAGTCACCTTGATGTTGCTCGTGGGGAGGGATGCCTGTGAGGGCAGGGCAGGGTTGGGGTTTCTGGCAGGTGGGGCGGTGGGCAGGAGGCTGATCCTGCAGGGTGAGGCGAGGCAAGGTGAGGAAGGACAGGGGTGCCATTGTCGCAGGGCAAGGCGAGGCAGGGTGGGGCTGCCATTGTCGCAGGGCAAGGCGAGGCAGGGCGGGAGTGCCATTGTCGCAGGGCAAGGCGAGGCAGGGGCTGGGGCGGCTGCTGCCTGACACCATCGGACCCTGCACACAGAGGCCAGCGAGCACAAGAGGGTCGACAGTATCCATCAGCAGCCACAGCCTGACGGCCCCTCGACCAACGTACTCTGGGGCTCCGCAGCCTGCCGCCAGCAGTTCAGACGCCACCTCTGAGCTGGACAGTGATGAGGCGATGCAGTGGGTTGTGCCCAGGAAAAGGAGAACATGCGAGGCCAGGAGGGATGGGGGGAGGGAAACCAGCTGTGCCAGGATGGGACCCCAGCCACGTGGGATCTCAGCAAGTTAGTAGGTGGCTGGTTGAAGAGGGACACCATTTCCGGGGCATGGCGCGTGTGCCCACAGAGACAGCTGAGTGCCGCCTGTGGCACGCGTGCCATAGGTTCGCCACCACTGTATTATACCATTTTTAGGACATGACAATATTCGAGTACCACCAGTGCTTAGCAAGGTGTCAAAAACTTGATGACTAATGCCTATTTAATTTTTAATAAAAAGGTTGATAGGGTTTTTAAATTTCATATTATAAGGATTTCTTTACTTCGGGTTTGGAAGAAATATTATAGAAGTGATTTTAAAATTCCACTATGGGCTATACCGTGGCATGCGATAGAAGGGATAAGGAGAGGAGTCAAGATGGATAGTGTTTCTTATGCACAATTACTTAGATGGGATGGTAAAAACTGGCAATTAAAATCTTTGGAAGATTTAACACAAGAAAATATTATTTATTCATGGTTTCATTATAGACAAATAGTGGAGAGGTGGAAGATAGATCGTAACGTGGGTTTGCTTAGAGAAGACGAGAATTTGTTAAAACAAATAAAAGATCAAAGACGAACTCATATTAAGAGAATTTATGGGGTGTTAGTAGAACTGGATTCAGAAGCAGAATTAGTTAAAGAATGTATGGTTAAATGGGCACAAAATTTTGATGAACCGGTTCCATTAGATACCTGGGAAATTATTTGGGTGAGGAATGTTAAATTTACACAAGCCCAAAATTTAAGGGAAAATTTTTATAAAATGTTTTATAGATGGCACCTTGATCCACAAAAAATGTCCCGTATGTATCCTGACTTGCAGCCTAAATGTTGGAGATGTGGATGTTTGGATGCTACTTATTATCATATCTGGTGGTCATGTAAAAATATAAAAGCTTTTTGGATTAAGATATGGTGGAATATCCAAAGAATTTTCAGAAGGGTAAAATTTACCCCACAATTGTTTTTGTTAGGTATTGTTTCTGATTGTGATAGTAAAGAGACTATATTGATGTTAAATTTAATTACAGTGGCCAGGTTGTTAGTAGGGCAATGTTGGAAGAAGGAATCTTTGCCTACTTTGCAAGAGTGGTTTCTTAAAGTTTCTTATTTGGCGGAAATGGCAAAGATTTCGGCTTTCTTGAAAGATCAATCGCAAGAGAAGTACTTTCTGGTATGGAAAAAATGGATAGATTTCATACAATATAAGTTGGATATAAAAATATTACTTAGTTTTTGAATAATTTATATTTAAAATTTAAGATATTTCATAGACATTTTTTTTAATTTTTTTATTTTTTTATCTATTTGATCTTTTCTTTTTCTGTTTCTCTTTTCCTTCTTGTATTTTTTCTTTTTTATATATATTGTTGTTAACTATTTTATAATTTGTTTAATTAATGTATTTAGATTTGCTTATGGTTTATATGTGTTTTAAGATCTTTTTAAAAAATTTTTTAATTAAGCCTGTATTCAGCTCTGGGAAGGTCGGAGGAGGGTAGGGGAGGGTTGGGAGGGTTTGGGGAAGGGAATTGTTTTGTAAAACTTAAAAATTTTCAATAAAAAAAACTTGATGACTAAAAAAGGGGGAGATTTTGGGTTTTACTGATTAGATTCATTTGTTGTTATACAAATGGCTAGTTTATACTATTATGGAAAAGTAAAAAGTTGAGGTTCAATGTTAATGCTTCCTTCTACTGCAACAGAGGAACTATGTTCTTTTTCTCTTCTCCCCCTCACTTCCTCCCCTTTTTTCCTCCCCACTGTGTCCTACTATTTGCTTTTGTATTTTTACATTTTATTCTATAATCTAATAAAATGTTACAAATCATTAAAAAAGGAAAAAAGTACTGGTTTTAATTTCTTCGGTGGCAGTTCCTTTGCTGAATCACTTTCCTTTTGTATGATGATTTATCCATATTTATTAATATGCACCATTACTATGGTGGTCAGTTGGCTGGTCGGCCCTTCTTTCTCTCTTTTTCCTCCCTGCC